TTTCTGTGCCCTTTCGCCAACAATTATCCTCAATATGATTAATCTTTCCACAATATCCACAAAATGAGTGAGGGATTGATGTTTGATCTTCTTGTGAGACACCTCCTAGTTGTCCTCTTCCACCTGGGGTTCTTTTCGGAGTGACTCCCTTAGATGTCCCCGAAATTTTCACACTACCAGCTCCTCGAAATTTCGACGCATAAGCGATAAAAGCACCATTTAAGAAAAATTCATGTATAAATAATAAAATTAAATAACACTAAAGCAAATAATTATAAAATGGACTAAATTAAGAACGGAAAAATATGAGTCCTCACATCGAAACCCAAAACCAATGGTAAGCCATTCAACTCAAGCCAGCAAGGGCTTGGTTGAGGAGTTTGGTGAACCTTAGACAAATACTTGACTTGGATATACGTGAGTAATATCAAAACTTTTGACGTTCAAGCCTGATAGGGGGTGTAACAGTGGACAGAAATTTGGTGAAAAGTGGGGTCTACGGACTTGATACTTGCTCGGTTGATGGAGTGTCAACAGTTGAAATATTGGATCAAGATCTTGGAGAAGTTGTGTGGAGTTAGCTCCTGAGAGCTTCCATATCCTTATTGATTGTGTTTTACTTTCCTTTGTGAATTACTTGAATTTTATGGCTATCCTTCTTGTATATGCTTTATTGCTACTTGAACTTATTTGTTTGCATGCTTTTCTTGGCCTCACTGGGCACTAGCTCACCCTCGTAGTTTGTTTTCCCTAATAGGAGCTCGATTGGAAAGATTTTGGAGAAGCTGACTTGATTAGAATTTGGATGTAAATGGTTTAGTCAACATTGGATTGTTGTATTTTTTTGAAAAATTTGATGTACCTTTTGGAAACTTTGTAATGTAAGACTTGAATGATTATATAAGGAAGCGACTTTTCTTTATATTGACTTTTATTATTGGTTGATTACCTTTAAGTTTAAATTTAACTCGTATTAACGCCTGGCGACAGCTAGGCAAGCGGTTGGCCAAAACCCTAGGGTTCACCCTAAGGAGAAGTGGGGTCGCACAGGTAGTATCAGAGCCTAGGTTTGAATTAGTAGACCATTAGGAGTCTTGACCTTGTGAGAAATACGTGAGATAGTACAAAATGATTGGACCTAGTTTATCTAGTATACTTGGATCCATCTAACCTTCTAATTTTAATTATAGGTCATGGAAGGAAATGGTGGTAATGAGCCGTCACAGAGGTGCCTTCCAATGGTCCATTATCGAGAAGGGTCTGGTGGTGCTCGTTGGAGTTGGAATCCATCTCGTCGAACTAGACCTCCTTGTGACTGTCGGAGGACTTACTTGTATCCTAATCATGTCGTGCTAGAGGTAATTGATGAGCGGAGGCGGGTATTCAAGGAGAATAGGGTAGTACGAGGTGATAATCTTGGATTGAGAACCACTGTGGATGCCCAAACTACTAGAATTCATGAACTGGAGATGGATGTACTTGAGGAGCGGAAAAAGGCTGAGACTTTTCGTGAGCAGCTTCAGAAGGCTAAGAGCTGACTTGCTAGGGTAGTACACGAAATTAGAGACCGGGCTGAGGGGTTGATGGCTGAGTGTGTTATTTTGGTCGAGCAAGTGGTGGATGGCAAGATACTTGACGGGAAAAATGAGGAAGAAACTCTTAGTGCTGAAAATGAGGATGATCCTACTAAAGTAGCAGAGACTTCTGACGCTGCTAATCACTAAGCTAGTGATCTAGTCTACTTTAGTAGTTTTTGTCTAAGATAATCGGGGTAGTGCTTGTTCAAAAGCCATTGTATTTTGCTTAACCGTGCTATCTATCTTTTGAAGTACTTGAACGTTACTTATGATGTACTTGACTTTGTTGCTCTATGACTTCTAATTTATGCCTTGGGTTGTGCTTATTTACACTTATTTTGATGTCTCCCTTATTTATTTTTCGTCCTACATAATTAAAGTGTTGTTTTAAACTTCGCTTATGCATATTATCGTGTGTTTATGCCTTCAGAAAATTACTAAAACTATGGACGGCCGAAGAAATGGAAGGGGTCGAGGGCGTGGGGTTAGGCAACCCCAAACTCAAGGAGATGATCAAAGATTGGCAACTAGACCGAGCCAAGGGCAAGTAAACGAAGGGGATAACCAAGTAGCTACTGCTATCAACCGTATAACTGATATCTTAGAACGGTTAACAGGACATCAAGGTCCAGGACCTGTTAACCAACCTGGGGCTTAAGAGAGAGGGGAGGATAGAGCCTTGGAGCGATTTTTGAAGTTTGCTCTGCCTAAATTTCTTAGGGGACCTGATCCCAAATTAGCGGAAAACTGACTGGAGAGAATGACCAATATATTCGCCGCCTTAGATTATATCGAGGAGAGGCGAGTGAACTTTGTTGCCTTTCAATTTGAGGGTACAGCACGGGTTTGGTGGAATGTGATAAGGGGAAAATGGGAAAAAGCACAAACCTCTTGGACTTGGGAAAATTTTATAAGAGAGTTTAATGAGAAATTTCTCCTGCCCATGATTCAAGAAAAAAGGGAGGATGAATTTATAAAATTGAGACAGGGGACTTCTAGCGTGGCTGACTATGAGAAGCGATTCACTAAACTTTCTAGATACGCTCCGGAATTAGTGGCCATCGAGAGGAGAACGATAAGGCGATTTGTACAAGGGATTAATGTGGAGATTCAAGAGGGGTTGGCTGTAGCCCAAATCTCTACGTTCATTGAGGCCCTAGAGAAAGCACAGCGAGTCGAGAGTGCGAAACTGCAAGTTAGAGATTTTCTTGCCAAGAAAAGAGGGGCTCCTAGTAACCCTTCTAGATAAACAAATAAGGATACCCCACCTCCTAAAATGGAAAGAGGGGCAGGAGGAGTAAAGACTTCTGGAGCACCAAGAGGGGTTTTATCAAGAGAAGGTTGCAATGGGCAAGATCAATCGAGAGAAACACCTCCTAGTGGACAGGCCGTGGCTCCTCAAGTAGTTTGTGGCTACTATAGTAAGTCCAACCACATTGAGAATGAATGTTGAAGGAAATTGGAAAAGTGCTTGTGCTGTAGCAGAGCCGAGCATCAGCTCTCAAGATGTCCAAGTGTGCTGGAAGAGGGAGGTAGTACTTAACGGCCAGAAAAGTTGACCTCTAAGCAGTCTAGTACTGGAGAGAGTCGACCTAAGGTGCCGGCTAGGGTTTATGCATTGGACCATCAACCGATTCCTGATTCCACTGAGGTAGTTGAAGGTACGATTCCTATCTTCCGCCATTTAGTTAAGGTTTTAGTTAATTCTGGTACAACACATTCTTTTGTAAACCCTAAATTCATGAGTAGGGTAGACGTGAAGCCGATTAAGTTACCCTATGACTTGGAGGTTAGAGCGCCTACTGGAGATCAAAGTTTAATTGCTAACTTGGTGTATAGAAATTGCGAGATATGGGTTAGAGAGCGAAAATTATTGCCCGATTTGATGGGCTTAGATATTAAGGGGTATGATTTCATCCTAGGTATAGATTGGTTACCTCGCTACCATACTCAGTTTAATTGTAAGACGAAAACGGTAGAGCTATGTATTCCGGGAGAGGCAACCCTAAAATTGGATGTAAGGGGTAGACTAGCCTCATCTGCCCTTATTTCAAGAATTCGAATTAGAAAGTTGTTGAGTAAGGGAGGTCAAGGGTATTTGGCTTTTCTTATAAATACTCCTAGTGATAAGGTGAGGCTGGAAGATATGCCAATAGTAAAGGAGTATCCAGATGTTTTCCTGAGGAACTAGATCTGTGCCACCGGAAAAAGAGATAGCATTTAAAATTGATGCGACTCTAGGAGTAGCACCTATCTCTAAGACACCTTATAGAATAGCTCCGACTGAATTGAAAGAACTGAAGTTGCAATTACAGGATTTACTAGAACGAGACTTTATAAGAGAAAGTGATACTCCGTGGAGAGTTCCGGTATTGTTTGTTAAAAAGAAGGATGGGAGGTTAAGATTGTGTATAGACTACTGAGATTTGAATGATGTTACCGTTAAAAACAAGTACCCTTTACCCTACATTGATGAATTGTTCGACCAATTACAAGGGGCGGTAGTATTCTCAAAGTTGGATCTCAGGCAAGGTTATTATCAATTGAGAATTTTGGAAAAAGATATGCTTAAGACTGCCTTTAATTCGAGGTACGGGTACTTTGAGTTTGCAGTAATGCCGTTTGGGTTAACTAATGCTCCTGCAGCTTTAATGGATTTAATGCACCGAATATTTAAACACTATTTAGATCAATTTGTGGTGGTGTTCATTGACAATATACTGGTGTACTCTAAAATTTTGGAAGATTATGAGAAACATTTGAGAATTGTTTTGTAAACTTTGAGAGAACATCAATTGTATGCTAAGTTCAGTAAATGTAAATTCTAGTTGAAAGAAGTAACTTTCTTAGGTCATACAATCTCCAAGGAAGGAATTAAGATGGATCAACCAAAGTTGAAGCAGTTTCAAAGTGGAACCAACCGGAAAACCCTATTGAAGTTCGAAGTTTCTTGGGGTTAGCAAGGTATTACCGGAGATTTATCAAAGATTTTTCTAAGATTACGAGATCCCTGACTGAGTTGACTAAGAAAAGTGAAAAGTTTATATGAAACTCTAAGTGTGAATGAAGTTTCCAGGAGTTAAAGAAACGTTTGACAATGGCACCTGTCTTAGCTTTACCTAATGGGAAAGATAGCTTTGTAGTTTACACAGATGCTTCAAAAGAAAGTTTGGGGTGTGTATTGATGCAAAATGAAGGGGTGATTGCGTATGTCTCTAGAAAGTTTTTTTTTTTTTTTTTTTTTTAACAAATAAAATTTTTTTTTATTATTGTAAACAAAAACCAACCCAACCCAGACTGAACCATATCAGGCGAAAAGAAAATGAGGAGTACTTACTCCCTTACACTGAGCATAACAAGACAATCTGTGCCTCTATTCTCCTACACCATCACCCCAAAACGACAGAGGGACCAGCAGACCACCTAAAGGCTGCTAACCACAACATCCTCACTGATCCACCGCACCCCTGGCACTCCCCATGAATCCAATAAGATGGCAGACCGAACAATCGCCGGCACTTGGTGATCCTGATCAAAAACCTGGGAACCCATTAACCCAACCGCTGCAAGCCTATCTGCGGGTACATTGGCCTCCCGGAAAACATGGTAGATGGCAGCAGAAAACCCCTCCAGAAGATTTCTAACCTTCCTTAAATTATTACATAATGGCCACTTTGCAACCGCCCCTGATACAACCAACTGAACCAAAGCCTTGGAGTCTACCTCCACCAACGAAGGAACCACCCCTCGTTGATGACACAACTGCAACCCAACCAGGAGCGCCATACACTCTGCCTCTAACACCCCCTGATCCCCAAACTCCTTATAAAATGCAAAAATCAATTTCCCCTGATAGTCCCGCAGCAGCCCCCCACCCGTGGCCTTCCCTTGAATCACACTGGCGTCCGAATTCAATTTTAACTTTCCACAGGGCGGCTTATTCCAGGCAATCGCACATGGGGATCTTCGCCTAGGATCACCTCTGACCAACCGCAGCCACTCACAATCTGCATCACCCCTGAACTGGGACCGATGAAGCCTATTAGCCTTCCCCAACTGTTCTATAAAATTATCTACATCTCGAATTATCCCATTGACCTCCCAACGCCCTCCTTGAAAACGCTCCCCGTTCCTAGCCAACCAGATAAACCAACACACCACAATTGGCAATATCACCCTAATATGATTCTTCGCCGATGCATCTGAAGTTAGAAACCAAGCAATGAAAACCGAAGCCATGGTAGTGCAATTCCGCAACTGAAACCCAAAACGACTAGACACTTGCTTCCAAACTTGCGACGCAATCGGACCTGTCACAAACACATGCAAGAGATCCTCCTCCTCCCCATAGCAACACCCACACCTGGAAGGAAACGACACCCCCCGCGATTTCAGCACCACATCCAAAGGAATAAATTTTCTGACCAGACGCCATGCTAAGAACGCCATCTTTGCTGGCAAAGCTGGCTGCCAAAGGAGAGAGTCAACCAAGGAGGGACTCCTCCGTTGGCGCAGCACCTCCCATGCCGACTTCACCGTAAAAAGACCTGATGGAGAAGGCGCCCACACCAATCTATCCTTCTGGGAAACCTCAAAGGGAATCTCCTTGATCACCAAGATAACCGACTCCGGCACCCACTGGGCAAGACGAACCTCATCCCATCCATCGTTAGTAATAAATTCCGACACAAGAAAATGCGGCTGCTCCATTCCAGCCACCACCACCTCCAAAGGTTCATCGAAAGCCCATATATCCTTCCAAAAGTCCACCAGACCTTCCCCAATACACCACCTAATCTTCGGCTCCACCACTAACCTTATCACCTCTAGGCGTCTCCAAGTAGGTGAAGGGCGGGCAGACGAGGCCTCCATCGGGTGACAACCAGTACTGTATTTTACATGCATGAATTCCGCCCAAATGGAGTCACCACTCCGAAACCTCCACCATAGTTTAGCCGCAAAAGCCCTAGCCATGTCCTTAAAAGATCTGAAACCCAAACCCCCTTCATCAGTCGGGAAACACAACTTCTCCCATGAGGCCCAATGCAACCGCCTCTCCCCCTTATGATCCCACAAAAAGGAGTTACAAATATTACCCAAGCGTGTGAGCACCGCCTTTGGAGGGTTTAGCACTTGAAGCAAGTACATAGGCAACGAAGCCAGAACATGCCGCGCTAAAACCAGCTTACCCCCAAATGAGAGCAACTTGGTACTCCAGTGCCCAAGATGCGCCCGCATTTTAGCCACTATGCCGTCAAACAACAAACTCAAACGACGCCCTTTGTAAATAGGAGCACCCAAATACGTAAAAGGGAAACCCGCCCTATGAAAACCCAGGACCCTCGTTACCATCTGCTCCTGCCCCAGAGTGGCTCCTGACGCCAAGAAGAAAGCACTCTTATTGACATTTACCTTCTGACCTGATGCCTGCTGGTACTCCTCAAGAAAATCCTTGATCACACTCAGGCATTCTTCAGAACATCTCGTAAAAACAAGCATGTCATCTGCAAACGCAAGATAAGGCACCTGAGACCCGGCCGACACGAAGAACCTCTCCGGCCGACCGAGCAACAAGTGGTGCAAGCCTCGACCCAAAAATTCAGTTACTAACACGAAAAGACCGGGAGACACCGGGTCCCCCTGCCGAACACCCCGCGTCGACTTGAAAAAACCAGCAGCCTCACCATTTACCAAGACCGAAAACCAATTATTAGACACCAACCTATAGAACATATCCACCACCCTTTCCTGAAAACCGAATTGCCTCAGCATAAACAGCAGAAAGGGCCACTCAATCCTATCGTAAGCCTTCTCCATATCCAATTTTAGCATTAAATTCGGATGACGCAAGCGCCTATCTAAATCCATCACCAACTCCTGAGTGAGCAGAATGTTATCCGTTATCCCCCGTCCAGGTACAAAACCTGTTTGCCACGGAGAGACTAAAGTCGGGAGTACTCTTCCCAACCGACGAGCAACCAGCTTTGAAATTACTTTGGAGCAGGTGTTGCACAAACTGATTGGTCTAAAATCTTTCCAGCACGTGGCACCCGCAATCTTAGGCAGAAGAACAATAGAGGTGCTAGTAAAGCTCCTAGGCAAACCCATTCCCTGAAAAAAGGCCTTCACCGCCTCCAGCAAATCCGACTTAATTATCTCCCAACACCCTTGATAAAAACCGGCCCCAAACCCATCCGGCCCCGGTGCACTATCCGCCTCCAGGCCAAAAACCACCTCCCGCAATTCTGCCAGCTCCGGAAGTGCAACGAGCATCCCATTATCCGCTGCGGAAAGCTGAGGAAGCGTGAAGGGAATCACTGGAGGCTGCCACCCATGTTGCTCAGAAGCAAACAAGGAGGATACGGACTCCACTGCTGACCTGCGAATGTCTTGTATGTCCTCCAACCATGCCCCTGCCGCATCCTTAATGCGCGCCACAAAATTGGAGTTCCGACGCTGCCGATACCGCGAGTGGAAGTATGCAGTATTAGCATCCCCAACCTGTAACCATTTGATACCCGCCTTCTGTCTCCAATACGCACATTCCGCAGCCAAATTCCTAGCGTAAACCGCCTTTGCCTCCTCCAATGAAGCCCTGGCCGCAGGATCTCGGCTCGTATCAAATTCCTCCTCACGCTGTTTCATAATGTCCTCGGCATCCTTTACCTTGGCAAAAACATTCCCATAGACCTGGACATTCCAGACCTATAAACCAACCTTCACCGCTTTCAACTTATTGTAGAACCTCACCATCCCCTCGCCCTCCACCGGCTTTGCCCAACTGCACTGAACCACCTCCTTAAAACCAGGATGGCCCCTCCAAACATTCAGGAATTTAAAAGAGCGTTTGGGATGACTCCCGTTCTGACAACAGATCAGGAGGGGTGCATGATCCGAGCGGCCCCTGGCCAAATGTGAAACATGTGAGAGATCAAATCCATCCGCCCACTCCCGATTCATCAAGGCCCTATCCAAGCGTTGCCACACCCTACCATTCGTCCATGTAAATGCAGCACCATCAAAAGGCACCTCGGACAAGCCACAAATTCCCGTCGACTCATTAAATTCCTCCATATTTCTGTGATTTGCCGGGGACCCCCCCAGACGCTCCTGCATATTGGCAATAACATTAAAATCCCCTGCCACTAACCACGGGCCACGCACCTCCCCCGACAAACCTTCCATGGCCGACCACAACTCGCGGCGCCCCACCCTCGAACATCGAGCATAAACTGCCGAAAATTGAATCGAGCACCCCGAAGAGAACCCAATGTGCATATGCAGAAGCTGTTCGGCGAATTCCCTAAAGTTCACTGTCATCTCACTAAACCAGAACACCCAAACCTTGTTATTTAAAGCCCCCCAAGCCTTATCAAACCCCAGTGACCGACGGACCACCTCCATTTGAGCAGGGTCCGACAAAGGTTCCAGCAGAACAAGTAATCGAATTTTATGAGTTTTACAAATGTTGTGCAAATATCTAATTGAATCCCGGCGAGATGCCCCACGAATATTCCATACAACAAATTTAATTGGATTTAACATTAGACCGCAAAGAATAATGAGTTTGTGATTGGGATGGAACCTGTTTCACACGAGCTTTTGCCTGCATACCTCCCTTTTGCCTTACTCCACACAGGCGCACCTCCAAGGACTGGATGTTCACCTGCTCCACTCCACTCCTCCGCCCCTCGCCACCGGTTGGTGCGTTAGGCAGCCGGCGTTGCAGCAACCCCTGAAATTTCCTTAGCTGCTCCAATGGCACAGTCTCCCCCGGAACGTCTCCGTCCGAGAGTTGACGTCTATGTCTCTGACCTACGACCCGGGCCCCACCCGCGGAACTGGAGGGAAAGCGCTCAAAATCCTGAACCTCCATATCTGAAAGTGACTGAAGAATCCCAAAGGAATTGATAAACGCCTGCTCCCCCACTGCCCTCTTCCCACTTTCCCCCCTCGTCCCTCCAAATGCTTCCTCCACGTTTGCTTTGTCCGGAGACCCTGGAGAGTCTGCCACTCGGGCCGACACAATGCTCAAACCAGCGTTCTCCTCAACACCTATCCCAGCATCACCTTCCAACCAGGACGAATCCGCCACCCGACTCGAGTAGCCTGGAGCCTCCAAGCCCGTCTCCACCGCCACGGCACAAACCTCCCGCTCCACTTCCTTCCCCGCCTCCTCCGGACCCAAACCTGGTGTAACCTCCGGATTAACATTCTCCACATCTACCCCTTCACTACCTCGTCCAGTCTGTTCACTCCCCCCAGGACGTTGCGGACTCCCCGCACGCAGCAGCAAATCATCTCCAGGCCCCTTCACCTCAATTGAACCCTTAGGCCGGTATATTTCCACGATTTTCCCTACATCCCTACCCTCCCGTTTGTCCAGTTTGAGCTCTGGATGCTTCCTAAAACATTCACCATCTTCATGACCAAAACGTTGACAAAACCCACAGAATTTTGGCCAACTCTCATACACCACCTCCTGCCAAAACCCCTCCTGCTCCTCCCCAATCCAAACCCGACGGGGGGGCAATTTCGAAACATTCATCTCAACCAAAACCCTTGCAACCGAAGGCCGCCTGAGAGACAAAGTCGCCGAGTCAATCTTCAGACATCTTCCCAGCAAACCAGCCAGTTTGGCAATATACATTGCATTAAATAAAGGCAACGGAAGAAAAGGCAAAGACACCCAGACAGGCGCGAACTTGGAATCCTGATTTGCAGTGTCCATTTGGATATTAGCATCTGCGCACCCTTCACAAACCAGGAACGGCGCACAAAGAGACGTGTAAAATCCTCCTCTAACGATGGTCTGATCAGAACATGATTCAAATCCAGGAGACCGACTTCACATTCTCCTTTGAGCCCAAGCGACACAAAGAAACCCCTAATGATTTCCATTGGCGGCCGACGAAACGGGAAACGACCCACCAATGCATTTTGAAAAGGAGAGGAAAGCAAACTCAGCTCATGCTGGGATAACCTCAGCGCAGGCTCTCCTCGATGCATCGAACAAAACCCCAGATCTGGAACTACCGCACCCTCCTTCCGAGACCCCGCGAGCGCCTCGACGAACGATTTGACCACCGTCGCTTCGCCATTTGGCCCCCCAGTGGCCGGCGGCGGCCACTGCGGCCCCTCCATTCACCAAACCCTAGACGTTAGGATTGTTCTATATTTGGAAAAAAACTTTGTGCAACTACGTTCTTGAATTCAAGTTTCTTTGCTCTGGAAAGCAGTTTCATAAAATGCTGAATCGTATGTCTCTAGAAAGTTAAAACCTCATGAGAGAAATTATCCAACTCATGATTTGGAGTTAGCGGCTATAATATTTGCATTGAAGAAGTGGAGACATTACCTATATGGGGTGACGTTTGAGGTTTTTACCGACCACAAGAGGCTTAAATACTTATTTTCTCAAAAAGAGTTAAATTTGAGACAGTGTAGATGAGTGGAGTTTCTAGAGAATTATGATTGCATGATTAATTATCACCTGGGGAAAGCTAATGTGGTAGCTGATGCTTTAAATCGTAAAGTGTAAGTAGCAAGATTGATAATTAAAGAGTTACACTTGTTGGAAGAAGTTAGTATTTGGAACCCTCGTCTTGAACCAAGAAAGATGATCCTTGGAAACATTGTCGTGAAATCTACGTTGCTAGATCGTATCAAGAAGGCACAAGAGAAGGATTCAGAAGTACAAAAGTGGTTGGAGAAAATTAAAAATGGAAAAAAGTCAGATTTTAATTTGGGAGTAAATGGTGTACTAAGGTTTCGAAATTGCATAGTGGTGCCAAAGAATGAAGGGCTAAAAGGGGAAATGTTAGAAGAAACTCACCATTCTAAGTATACGATACATCCTGCTGGAGGGAATAAGATGTACCAAGACTTGAAGAGCCTGTATTGGTGAGAAAATATGAAGAAGAAAATTGCTCGATTTGTCCAGACATGTTTCATTTGCTAGTAGGTTACAGTCGAGCATCAGAAACCATCTGGCATATTGCAACCTTTGGAGATACCCTAGTAGAAATGGGAGAATATTACCATGAATTTTGTATCTGGATTACCGAGGACACAAAGAGGTCACGATGCCATTTGGGTGATAGTGGATAGACTGACCAAATCTGCGCACTTTCTGCCAATTAGTATGAGGTACTCACTGGGGAAATTAGCTAAGCTATATTTGGATGAAATTATAAGGCTACATGGGATACTAGTAAGTATTGTGTCCGATCAAGACCCTCAATTTGTTTCTCGGTTCTGGCAGAAGATGCAAGAAATGCTAGGAACTAAATTGAGTTTTAGCACTACCTACCACCCACAAACTGATGGACAGTCAGAGAGGACAATTCAGACCCTTGAGGACATGTTGAGATCATGTATTTTAGATTTCGGAGAGAGTTGGAGTAAGTACTTAACATTGGTGGAGTTTGCTTATAATAATAGCTTCAATTCATCCATTCAAATGGCTCCTTATGAGGCTTTTTATAGCCAGAAGTATAGATCTCCGATTTGTTGGGATGAAATAGGTGAAAGAAAGATTTTAGACCCAACTGCAGTATCATGGATTGAGAAGGCATATGAAAAGGTGAAGTTAATATGCTAAAGGATTCAAACAGCTCAGAGCCATCAAAATAGTTATGCAGACAATCGAAGAAAGGATTTGGATTTAGCGGTTGGAGATTAAGTTTTCCTTAAGATCACTCCTCTAAAAGCAAGTTTGATGGCATGAAAAGAAAAGAAGTTGCAACCCAGATTTGTAGGACCTTATAAGGTTCTCTAAAATGTGGGAAACGTGGCCTATAAGTTGGAACTACCACCAAGTTTGTCTCAAATTCATAATGTTTTTCATGTGTCTATACTCAAGAAGTATCATCTAGATCCCTCCCATGTACTGAACCAGAAAATATTGAGATTTACGAGGCACTAACGTATGAGGAGAAACCAGTGAAGCTTTTGGATCATAAAATAAAATAACTGAGGAATAAGCAAATCTCTTTGGTGAAAGTTCTATGGAGGAATCACGGAATTGAGGAAGTAACTTGGGAGGGAGAAGAAGAGATTCGAGAGAAATATCCAGACCTATTTCCGAATTAAGGTATGAATTTCACGGACAAAATTCTTTTAAGGGGGAGAGGATGTGAGAACTCATATTTTTTTATTCTTAATTTAGTCTAATTTATAATTATTTTCTTTAGTGCTATTTTACTTTATTATTTATGCATGAATTTTTCTTAAATGGTGCTTTTACAGTTTACACGTCGAAAGTTTTTCGAAAGTTGCACCGGCGCGACTAATTGGAGATTTGTAGAATTAATTTTAGACTAGTAAGTATGAGTAATTGTAGTGCTAGAGAAACTATCTTGGAGGATTAGTATTTAAGTGTAGCAAACAAGAGGGAAATTGGTAGTACAAGACACTATTTTGCTACTATTCGAAATTGACTTTTTCACAAACAAATGACTAGCTTTCCTTCATCTTTTCCACCACAAAAAAATCAAAACATTTCACACACACACACTCTCTCATTCTCAGCTGAACAAGAATCTCAAAAGGGAGGAGGAAAAAAAAAACAACTTCATCTTTTGCTCAAAGATCTTCATCCAACCATCAAAACTTTGGGTTTTTGCTCCAGCTAGAAGGAAGGTGCAATCTTGTGGTGATTTTTGGTGAAAGAGTTGGTGAAAGTCTTGCCTTCAACTAGGGTTCAAGAACTTGACGAGGTAACAAGTTCATCCTTCTTTGATCTTTAAATTTTGCAAAGATTAGTGGTTGAATTACATGGGTTTGAAACCCTAATCAAGAATCTAGGCTAGAGGACTTAAGGAAAACCCTTGTTCCTTGCTTTACATCCTAGGTAGTGGTCTTGAAGTGGCCTTTTAGGTAGCGGACTTGAGGCTTCTTGCTTGATTGTTGTTGATTTTGTGATGTAAGGCTTGATATTGGCTTGGTAAGTGGAGAGAAATTGGAAGAAACCCATGGGAAGTGCTGGCCGAAAATTTGCTGCTTTGTTACCTTGCTTTGATTTCGAATTTTGTTGCTTATATGGCTACTAAAATGCTTGTTATATGTTTTATTGTGTGTGTGGAAATTATCTTTCAAAAATCATTTCAATTGGTTGGATAAAACTTGATTTTGAAGAAAGGAAGAAAACTGGAAAAGCTACCCAGGTCAGCCGACCAGGGGTTCTTTGTCTATGTATAAATATTTGTAGAAAAATTTCAAAATCAAGTGCCATTTATGGCATTTGAAACTAGACACCAAGAGCTTTCCAACGGTATAAAATTCCCCTGCTAATTGATTTTGAGTGAGACGTAGCGAATCGGAAAAGTGGACTAATTTACTTCACCTGTTTACCGGAGAAAATCATACAGCTGCATCTTGTGGCTCAATTTCGTCCCTCGTGT